TGACACACTTACCCTACATAAACATTCTATACACTGAACTAACGAGAAACGTAAATTTCACCTGAAAAATCAGGTAACCTTTCAAAAATAGAAATCCAATAAGAATTACATGCTGCACATAAATATCAATGGCATGGTAATGAATTCCACTAGATTCACTGATGGAGTTCAAGTGTTATACAGATAAATGTTAAGTGAAGTTCACGTAAATTTTAAGTGACCTCATGATGTGAAAACTGTTTTTGCGTATTTGTTAGTTCAAAATGGCGCCGGTTGAAAATAGGTGATTTTTGTTACTACGAGATTGGGGATTTTTAATGTTTATGAGCGTAAGTTTGATTAATATCAATATATGAATCCTGATTTTCAATACCCAAAATAAATTGAAGAGCGTAAAATCGGATTGAGCAGTCCTCACAAGCTTAATCGCCGAACTACAGGAGTGCTTACAACAAAAAGACGTCTATTGGAGACATGATGTCCTTTTCGAAGTCATCAGTTGTTGGAGAAAAATAAATGTAAGGATCAAACTTAATGTTTTAAATAAACCAATAACCAACTTTAACTTTATTCAGAAGCAGCAATTATTATAGAGCATTGAGGAGTAAACAAATGCAGAACGATCAACCTAACAACAACCTGTTGCACTGGGTATAGATTTAAGAATAGGTTTGATACTCACGATAGTTACTAAAAAGAACAATTTTATGTTGATTATAATAAAGTAAAAATTCAACAAATAAGTTAAAATTTATTAAAAAAAAAATCCGGATGATATAATGCAATACCACTGCATTAAAACACATGAAACATACCACAAATTCACATAAATATTACTAAAAAAATCCAGTGACGATTACTAAACAATTCACGTAACTATTAAGTGAAGCTAATTTGACGATCATCGGAACGTCCGATAAAATTTACGTGAAAATCACTTGCTTTTCATATGAATCACTTGAAACAACATTTCATTCCCAAAACACGTAATATTCACCTGAAAAGTACGATGGAAAATATTTACGTACCTTTTCAGGTGAATATTACGTGAATTTTATTTGCAGTGTACGACATCAAGGGCAATACCATAAGCTACAAAATGGAACCAATGTTTCCAATTCGAAAACAATGCCAAGAGTAAATTTAATCATTATATTTTACTATCAAAGTTACCCGCATTACCATAGATACCCCGTTTTACGGCACTTCAATAATCATTCTTAGAAAGAGTTCTTCAAAAAATTACGTTTCATTAAAATCTTTCGAAACTTGTAACACGCTCAGCCAATTTTGCTCAAAACTTGACCGATGAATCTTGAACCATTTAACCATACAGCAGCCAAAATATCAAGAATTTTTGTGGACATCCGTAAATTTTGCGTCTCTTTACTTATGACCAGCACTGTGCGTATGTATGTATGTGTATAATGTAGAAACATTCAATGCAGGTCTCTTTTGTTCAGATGGTCGATGGCGGCGGCTCACTTCCGGTGAACAGGTGGAATACACTTTCTGAGCTTCTCATGTTTCTGATCCAATCGATCAACAAGTGAAGTGAGGTTAGATTGATTGACTCTTGGAGAGAAAATAGCCAACTGTTTGCGATTATGTCGCGCTGGTAATGGATGAAACTACTGATTGCCACCATCTATGTTTTGTTTTCGCTAATTGCCGGTTCATAATTTTAAAAGGAGATTACATCTACCATGTTTTGAAGCCAGCTTTGGCGATTTTTTTTTGTTAGGGTGTAACAGTTTTTGTACCTTGTGGTCCTCTTATTGGTCCTATCTTAAATTTAACATTTTTACATTATTTTCAAAATTCGTTTCGATACAAGGGTAGAACATATACTTGGCCAAAAATCCACGAACATTAAACCATGAAAATATATTTCAAATTTGAGTTAGGCCCTAGGGCCATAAACTAGAGCACTAATGTCATAACTGGCACACTTACCCTATACAACATTACAAAAGTATTCTCAGATTCACTGTTTTTGAATAACTGCAGCTCATTATATTCATTACGTTCTAAACATTCACTCTATTGGATACCAAATGTATTGGCAAACAACACTCATTTGTCATGAAATATTGGAATTAAACGGATTTTGTTTTGTCTATTAAAACGTCTAAACATCGTTTTGTATACTAAACCATGTTTAGACGATTGTTTTAATAGACATAACAATATGCGGAAGAAAGTTAAAAAAGATAAAACACTGTTAAACTTTCAACTAATGGAGTCTAAAACATTGGTTTCAATGTTCGGCATTCGAAAAAAATTCTAAGAGGCTGTTCATATAATTTGTAGACCGTTTTTACCCTTCTTACAAAGAAGGGTATAGATATCACTTGAAAAACCGACTATCGATCCGAGGCCCGGAGGGCCGAGTGTCATATACCATTCGACTCAGCTCGACGAGATCGGAACATGTCTGTGTGTGTGTACGTGTGTATGTGTGTGTGTATGTATGTAACGAAATGAATGCGTTTCTCAGCAACCGCTCAACCGATTTGGACAAACTCGGCGCCAAATGATAGGTCTTGGGGTCCTATTGAACGGTTTTGGAATCGGTGAAACGGTTCCGGAGATATGGCCGGAATAAGATCCGGTGAATATGGGCTTTCACGCTGGATTTAACGGAAAGCGTATCAAAACCATCATGCGACACATCAAATTACTACAGAATTCAAAAATAAGATCAATGCAAGTCGTGTTAAGTGTTCCAGACCACATTGGACACACTTGGACATGTTCCGGGTACCCCGGGGAAGTTGCTTGAATATGAATTGAATTAAACCCCATTAAATCACATTAAAATACGATGATAAGGTGATTGGTAGCCTCACCAAATAGACTACACCCGGATATATTCCGGGTACCCCCAGGCAGTGGCGTAGCGTCACTGGATGACACGGGGTGGGGGGGTTGGTCACTGATAATGACAATAAAATAAATAAACTTGAATAAGTAAGAAGGGTCTGATCACACCATAGGTGGATAAATTCGGGTTTTTTTAGAGGTATTAGATCCCCCTCCCGCACAAACAATCGCCCATACAATTGTTTTTGAAATGTATATGTAGACAATCACTTACCAAAATCGCCTAACTCTGAGCTGTTCAAATTTTGACGATTTTTTTAAATATCTAAATTTCATTCTGAGGATTTGCAAAAATGTCTTATTCAATAATCTTGCAATTTACTTAAGCTCCAATATATAGAAGTTCATATTTTTCGATTATTTTATTAATCTAGAGTAAAATCGTTAAGCCTCGCTCGTACAGAAGATTTTTCGTTGCTTTGAAATGAAAAATGTGTTTCTGAAAACAAGTGCTAGATCCAAACATATTCCGAATGGTTTAAAATGATCGATTTCGTTGAAAAAGCCTTCGATTAAAATCAATATTATTTTAATTGTTTTACAATAGTTGAACTGTTGAAAGAAAAAAAGGTATGAATGAAAATAATGGGCACACATACAAGGTTAAACCGTTTAAAAACAATATTGCACTTGAAGAAAAATAATGAGACATGTCCGTGGTTGAATATGCCCAGCTGATCAATTAAACCGCTTTTTACGGTACGAATGAATCAGCTGCGTTCTTCTTTTTTTTGTGATTAGAATTAGAAAAAAGTTATAACAACTGACAAAAAAATCAGCTCTACAAATCAATGTGTGAATAATTTCCTCCCATACAAAAACAGCATATCATTAGCTCGTTTGTTTTCCATAAACAAATCATAGAAGTGCTAATTTATAACGTCACCTTATTGTGTGCTGGTGTCAACATCTAATTTTATGACAACTAATTTGTTTAATTTCCAATCAAAAGCACTCTGCCTACTTAATAAACATCCTAATACACACACTTGATGGTAGTATCCATTCCGCTGCGTGATTTAACTAAACGGATGCATTTAAAGCCGTTGTCTCCGGCGAAAAGCTATGCTAATGTGCTGAATCTTATTTAATTTGATTACTTTTTTTCTGCCGTTGCTGTTGACTTGGCTGTTGTGCAGTAGCTACTACGAACGAACGGATATCATGTACGCTGGATATGTGCTTCCATTTAGGTGACTATCAATGATCACGCTACTATTTGCTATTGCTTTAAGGGAGCATCCATTACGTACGTCATGAAAAATTCTGGGAATAATAAACCCTCCCTCCTCTCCTCCCTTTCGTCATGTTTTTCCTATAACTTATACATTGTTTGCCACGGATTTCTCTCCCTTACGAGCGTGACGTACTTAATGGATCGCCTCTTATACGTAGCACACCTCCCCGTCTCTCCATCAGACCGCTAGAAGAGGTGCACAGCGCATTATTCAAAGCAACTCATGACATGAGTGCGATCACAAACTACATACTTATTTCCTTCCCCTGCTACACTTGACGCTGATGGGTTTGGTGTAAATGTTGCGCGAATTATGCGAGTAGAATGTTTCCATTAAACTTATGTTGCATTACTAATTAACACATTAGTAAAAATGAAAGCTACCGGCTTGAAAGCAGTTGTCTGCTCTTATTACATTTTCCACACTATGGATTTCGCTTTCTACACCTGTTTCCCATGTCCAGCCGGTCGAGGCAGTTTTTTTTTCGATAAATAAAAACAATTATGGCTAGGTATCCATTAAATTATATTGTGCAAAAGGATTTTCAACAAATGGACTTCTAACAATTACCAAAATCTTGTACAATAACTTTGCCTATAAGTAGTCTTTTCACTCCCACCATTCGCTAATGGCTGTTTGCCATGGCCCTATCTTTTTTTTGCAAAGCGTAATTAATTTAACTACTGCGGATTACCCGAGTTATCAGAGCGTTCCGGAAATTTCTTTGCAAATTTAATTTTTCGACTACGTCGCTGGCTGCTACCACTATCTGCTGTAGAAAAGATGCACCACAGTAGATAGTGGTACTCTCGTTGATCCACGTGCTGTGCCACTGCCACTAATCGGTTTCCTTTTTCTATTTCTATTTCATTACAGTTCTACACACATCGGCAAGTTTAGCGTTGAACGAAAGCTGGGATCCGGACGTACGGTAAGTTGTTTGTTGTTACCAAGGAGTTCAATAGAGTTTTCGGGAATTTAGTTCATTCGTGACGATGGAAAATGAGCGGAACTTTACTCTTCACTAGGGTAAATGTGTAATTTTATGGTTGGAGTGTTTTAGTAGTTGAATTTGCTCTTGCAGACTGGAAATCAAATCCCCCCCAATTTTGGTCCTATTGAGCAGAAAACATAAAATATATCCATGATTTCGGCGTAAACGAGTCAATTATTCTAGTCTAGTCTAGTCTTCACATACACAGCCAGTACTTGAAAGAATCCTGGAAAATGATACATCTATCATTTTTCTTGTCATTATTAATGCCTGCTGCACATCAAGGATGTGAAACAAACAATAAAGCGGCCAGGCCTACTGTGTAGCGTTTAGTTAATTTTTGTGGAAGTGAATGTTTACCATGTCTACTTAATAAGTATAGACAGTGGTTAACATTTAATCCACAGGTAATCAAAGAGCGGGGACATACCGTACCAACCGCTCCGTATGCTGGATTTGAAAATAGGCTATATAAATCGTTGGGAGTGACAGAGCTAAGAATGTTAATGTACACTCCTTGGTTGTCCGATCTCCTGGGATGGAACACAGGTATTTACCCCTTGTGTTCGAGCGTACAGTCCTCCCTCCGTACAAGCGTGGACGGCACCGCCAACCCACTGCCATCCCTCAATCGATCCAGCCGACCTCAGTTGAAGGACAACGGAGAGCGGTGTGCGGACGTAACCTATACGGAGGGAATGCTGTATTCGCCTAGGTTATAGCGCCCTTGCTCGCTACCATTTTCTTCTAGCGGTTGGGACCTGAGCACTAACTCTTGTCCTAGCCCTATATGGCATATGGTTATAGCGCCATTACTCGCTTTCTGAAAAGAGAAGAAGGGAAGGGAAGGAGAGGAAAAGGACTTGGGAAAAGGAAATGCGGAATTCCTTTCCTCATTAGTATTTGTATCGTCAACTTTTATGAAAACTATATAAATCATTTTTCCTTGGTCAGAGGTATTATTACGACATTTGAATAAGATTGTCTTATCATTTGTTATTCAAAATTTAATGTTATAATGATCAACATAGCTTTGAATTATCTAATATAAATCGGTAACACTGTCCTGCAACCGATTATTTTTCTAATCCGAAAACTAAAAGTTACGAAAAAGCACTTAGGCCTACATTAAGTTCCACTTTCACGCGACGTTCAATGTTTCGCGGTTTGCTCTTTACGCATTGTTCAGGCTATCATAACAAGCTATGACCAACGTGACGATTGCTTAAGCCCTGGTTAAACAAGTAAACAAGTTATTAAAATGAAATCATGTTCCCGAAAGCAGTCAACAATGTATCTTAAACCGGATCAAGCGTGCGCCCTATTTTTCTAAACATTCCGACGCGGTCCGCCCAATATCTATCAATTACGTTTTTCTACAATAGTAGCCTGGGATAAATCCTAATTCGACCGACACGTGTTTGTTGAAACATTATATTCTGCCTAATATCAGTAGTCAGTAGTCATTAGGAAACCTGTTACTATATTACCACATATGTATCCTTCTTTCATGAATTTGTCCACTGACTGGCAGTGGCATTATGGATAAAATCCTCCTGGAACCATCTTTTATATAAATAATTTCAAGAAGCTTAAATCCGGGAGTTAGAAGGTGACAGCTCTATAACAACTCCTAAAGCCCATTTCAAGAACGCAAGCATTCCGAAGCTTTTTTCGTATTTGCTAAGCCCCGCTCCAATACATTTCAATGTAGGAATCATTAATAATGTACTGGGACTTTCAACCAAGCGGTATTGCTTGATTGACGCGTATTTAATGAGTTGGAAATGTTTGTAGTATCACTAGTACTAGTACTCGGAAATTAAGTATGAAAATATTGTAAAGGACAAAATGGAACGAACTCACCAAATCTGGCCAAGTGAACCTAACAAGCTGGCATGATGTGTTAGAGGGGAAGTCGCAATTGTAGACGGTTCGATTCACAGGGTAATCCGGTTTGTGGTAAAGCTTGCACGAAATGTATAGTCTTGAAATACGTCTTGGCCGTCTGATACAATCCACATATGTTAGAAAAAAAATCCAGAGCAACGCAAAATCCATAAATTTAACGGGATGAAATTTCTTCGCTTCCATCTACAAGCACAACGGCGTAAACGAGTCAATTATTCAATCAAAAGCTACCAAACAAAAAAAAACCTATAAGAACGCTTGGAATGTTCAATTCATGCATATTCTCAAAGAAAAAAAATCTGCTGAATCGATTGGTGGTAGTCTCATTGGCCGTAGACTTTTACGTACCGAGATAGAGCCGGGATCAACCCGAGTTCCCAGTAAAGTAGGATACCTATGCCACTATCTATCGACATAATTGTACACATTACTTAACTTATATGACTGGAAATTGATAGTACTAAGTATATTTGGTGTAAAGACACCATATACGCCCTCAGGAAAACTCTACTGGCCAAAAGGAGGATCCGGAACGATAGATAGAGTGGCCACATTATAAAAAATGTCCTAGAACCTTGTAATTTTTTCTATGTTGTTCAGAATCAAGAGATCAAAGCGTAATTAATATGGAAACTATATTTTGGGGTATAGCGGCCATATTATGGTTCTCCAAATAATCTGGATTGACCGATGAAGTGGCCACATATCAAAGAATATGTTAAATACGCTTTGATCTCTTGATTCTGAACAACATAGAAAAAATCACAAGGTTCTAAGACATTTTTTTATAATGTGGCCACTCTGTCGGTCGTTCCGGATCCTCCTTTAGGCCAGTAGAGTTTCCCTGAGGACATATAAATATACGTTAACTAATGTGTACAATTATGTCCTTAGATAGTGGCATAGGTATCCTACTTTACTGGGAACTCGGATTGATCCCGGTAGACAAAAGTCTTCGGCCAATGAGACTACCACCAATCGATTCAGCAGAGTTTTTCCTTTGAGAATATGTATAACATGTTGACTGAAACCGTTTGGCAGCCGAGATATTCAATTTAGTCGCGGTTTTGTCAATTTTTGCCCACTGTGCAATGGGTCTGGGTTCAATCCCAGCCGAGGTCGGTGGGATTTTTTCTGAGGCTTAAAAATCTCTGGTCACGTCTTCCTTCGGAAGGAAAGTAAAGCCGTTGATCCTGGACCATTTTTTGTGTTTGAATGGGTGCGATATCCCGTCAATGGATGGCAATCGATGTCCGTCTGTGATTGGCACTAGATTGCGAAACAGAGACCGATGTTAAAAAAAAAGAAGCGCTCTGACCGAATCCATTTTGCATTACATGTTTAACTTTATCCGTACGCAAAAGTGAATTCAATGGTGTTTCAATGCATTAGGATGCAATCAAAATTCGTAGGCCGAGTTTAGAGTCAAGAAAGGGTTTTAGATTTTCAACAATATCTCGACTCCTTATCAAATGTAACGGTATTTATGGAAAGGTAATGAAATATGGAATACAACTACAGTAGGAACATTCCATTTGTAAAAAACATCCGCTCTAAAAACAAAGGCAAAGTGTAGGTTGTGCTTAGGCTGTGTTTCATTTGGTGAATTTTCACTTCATTTTGACTGATGGAAAAGTTTCAAATAAACCTGGAATGCTAGCAAACTTATTTTTGACAGACAAGGAATCAGTTTTGACTGACACCTTCTCGTAAATTGGCCGATCCACAACAGAGGGATTTTCAAACATTTTAATATATTTTCGAAGTGTAAAATTTAGTGAAAATTCACCAAACGACTTAGCATGACCATGATTGACCGCCCGCGGATGTTATTCTGTATTGCCAGATCAGCTGAAATTACACAGAGAACCAATAGACGATGCTTGGGACTAGCATTCATCCTCAATATGTAAAAACTGGTGATCTCAAACTAGGCAATACCAGCGCCGGCCGCGCCCGAACGCAGGTCAATATAGGAATGGGTAGGACTGTGTTTACGTGACACTCGCTTTGATGGAAGCCAAGGAGTCCTCTGCACTTCCACGAGAAATCACTGGGATGTTGGATAAAAGGGTTGGGTTTGCAGCAGGATTCGTTTTGATAAACGATAAGCTGAATTGATATCCTAACGCGAAGAAGCTTAGGATTCAATCCACGCACAGTGCACAGTGATCCAGAATGCAGATAATGATAGGTTTTGAACCTGAAATTGAAACTTTAGGCTAAAAGTCTCTTCTACAAAGTTGTTCCTTGTAGTTAGGCCCTCATTTTTATGACAATGACTTCTAGGGTAGTTCTTATTATCATGAAAAAAAATAAGGTATACGGCAGCAAAGTTATAGCTGAGCTAATTTCAAACAACAGTTGTTTTACTCTAGTTTTCTTATTTTAAATTTCTCAGCAAAGGTGTCTGCAAATAACATTTAGATCTTTAGAAGGCACAAATTTTTGCTGCAAAGAGCTTGTCGATATCTTTCGCCGATCAAGAGTTTTTTCTACTAAAAATATGCCCTTTTCAAATGTTAATATCTCTAGTTGGGGCAAAGTTTTTTTACGGCATTTGAAATGGCGTATGTTATTCTCAATAATATGAAAAAAATTAAGGTATTTTATTTTTTAAGTCGTATGAAATCAGTGCTCCGAGACTGAAAAGTTCGAAAGTACGTATGATTTCAGCTCAATCAAACGTACTTTCGAACTTTTCAGTCTCGGAGCACTTAATTTTACATGACATGTTTGTTTACGTCTCATCCTTTATGTCAAAGATGGATTTCGTCACGTGTAAGATGACTCAATTTTATGTAAAAATTGACGTTCGTATATGTCAGTCTCAGAGCACCTATATTCACATCAATTTTTCTAAGTGTGTGGTCGCAGCAGATGAAAAAAAAAAACCAAATTTACTTATAACTAGAAATCCTCTTATTTTCAGATTTTTTTTTTCTACTTCCATCGAAAGTTTGTCTGACTTTGCTCGGAAGATACTTGCGTGTTTTCTTGGTAGTTTCATTTGATTCCCGCTGGGATTTTATGACAACTTTCCAATTATCCCTTGATGTTCAACCCGGCATTCTCCAGAATTATTTCTGGTGTTCTCTTCTAGCTGCTCCTAGAAATTTCTTCACTCGAAAATCTTCCTGGCTTGCGCTGAAAGATTGTTTTGCCATTCTCCATAAGATTCCTCTGATCTAACCCAGGAGGTTCCTTCCTGCTTTCGTCTTCTCTGGGAAGCTTTTACAACTTCCGCAGAAAGTTTCTTTCCAGCACTACCAGATGATTAACCGACTTCCTCAGGATTCCTCCATACTTCTCCCGAACGTTTTATCTCGTAAATGTTTGCGGCCCTAGTGGTCATTTAATTTTCAGGTTGTTTTGTTTCATTTTTCATTCTTTTCTTAGCTTAATTTGATACAGGGTTAGAACATTAATTTTGCCATATAGGGGAATTTACGTATTCTCGTCAATCTAAGCAGCGTCCGAACTTCTATTAGCGATTTCTCAGCGTCACATACATACATGACAGGTTTGTTTGTTGACATTTATCTGCTGCTTCCTGTTCTACCAATTCCAATCGACAGAATTGATCAAAATGGGTTGAACATGTTTTTACAACGCTCCAAACTTCTCAGGTGAGTGAGACTATTGTCGGCAGTCTCTTTTTCTTCGGCACCCTTTCCATTTGAACTGCGTGTTAACCAGCTGTTCTATTATTGGCAACTCAAAATCAGCCGTATTTTGTAGTGTGTATATTTCATTTAAAGAAAAATATGGCAGAACAGGATTGCACAGTCGTAAAAATGTAATCAGGTTGAAGCTGAAAAGGTAAGGAATCGACTTTATACATTCAGCGAAGAGTTTTGATGGGAAAATACAGTGAAATTAACGTTTCAATTTCGGTTGCCGAAAACAGTCAATGGGTGCCGAAGCCATAATTTACCCTATCTACGCAAATTGAATCATGAAAAATATTTCTCCTGGAACTGTCTTCCGAATCCAATCAGAAGTCATCAAGCTTTTTTAAGATTTCCCCATGAAGTTTTTTCCGTACACCCCAGAACTTTATAACAATTTTCCACAAAAGTTCATACCGATTTTGATCGGATTATTTTCGGATTTCCACCAGAAGTGTCTTCTAATTAGCTCCACAAGTGGCTTCCTGTTTCCTCCGGTTAGTTCTTTCAACTTCCCGCAATAACTTCTTGAAAAAAAAATCATCTCAGACATTACAGCGTAGCTACATGCTTTTCACAGTCGTATAATACCTCCACATATCACTTTGATCCGCGCATTGCAATCGATTTATAACCTAATATACGGCTTAACGAGGTTTAATTTTAATTTTTCAGGGACGATATGGAAATGATGCTAAATAAGATTGTACCGGAAGGACTACCGTACCGACATTCCTGCGAAGGTCCAGACGACATGGTAAGTATCCTTGGCGCTCCAAAAACTGTAGAACGATCGCTCATGGGATTTTTTTGTTTTTAGCCCGCCCACGTGAAAGCGTGTTTTCTCGGCAGCTCACTGACAATCCCAATTACCGATGGTAAACTGTCTCTAGGCACGTGGCAGGGCGTGTGGCTTTGCGAGCACCGTGATCACGCTGGCTCCCGCAAGCTGGTGATAACGTTGTCCGGCTGCCCCCGGGACTCTGCCCGAAGTCCACTCTCGCCGGTATCGCCAATTGCGTCCACCTCCAGTTAGGGACGGCCACGCTCTGCTCGCGATAGTCGGTAATCGTGGGTTAGAGCGGTGCTCTGCTGTAAGTTTCATACTAATAAGGGTCATAACACTATTGGAGTAAGCTCTAAGAGACGGAGGTTAAAGAAGGGGATGATAACCTATACATAATTATGTTAATTATAAAGTGATGGCAGAAAACCAGAAATAATTAATGAAGGAATGAACAATTTGCCGCAGATTTTAATAAATCAATAATGACGCAAAACGAATACGGAGCAAGTCTAGGTAAGACAGAAAACTTACTAATAAATCTAACGAGTAACTTAGATACATGAACCGGGGAGCGAAGGAAACATCAAAAAAGAATATTTAATTTACAATTTATATGAGGTAATAGATACTTAGATATAAAAAAAATAGAAATCGCTAAACAAATTTCATATGAAAGAAAAAAACGCAATGATAATAGCATTTAAGATGTCTACATGGAAGTTAAAGAAAATGAAGAGGAAAACTCGGAAAAGAAATAATTTTTACCAGCAGAATTAGGAACAAAGAATACTAGGTTTTTACTTTTATGATTTTTAATTCGTCAGGAATCGCAACATGAGACAACTAGTAAAACTAATGAATAGCTGAAATACCAAACCCAAGGTTAGATGTAGATACGTAATGTTTTGTTTTGCTTTATTTCACAGATTTTTTGTTACGTTCATTTCAGTCCGACGGTATTACAAAGGGTACTTATGATATGCACAAACTGTAACCCTGAATATTGTTCCCCGAAGTTCGAATCCACGGGAAGTGGTAGGTTACCAAATGCCAGTAGCTTTAGCGCCTCCTTCAAAATGAAGGGCCACTGGTACTGTCGTAAGTCCGGCCAGAGACTCTAAATCAGGGCAGGTTTTTTTTCCCTAGACACTTCCACCCACATTCTAACCCCGAAAACCAATTTCACAGGAAACCAAATTCGATTAAAAATTAGCTAACTAAAGAATCAAAGCTGTTCTAAAACTTTTAAAACTGAAAATTCGAGCCCTTTCAATAAGTTTTGTTTAAATCAAGCAAAAAGCAAAGGCAGAAACTATTAACCTACGGGTATCTAACAACTAGTATATTTACAAAGTTTTCAACTTTTTCCTCTAATTTTCAGAACTCATTGAATGCGAACAAAAGGAACGTTATTACTTTGGCTGGCATAATGGCGTTGCCGCATGAGGTTGTTCGGACTGTGGTTGGAATTGTCGTAATCTAGTGTGGCCGCACAGCGGATTCGATGGGTAAATTTTCACCCGGAATCAAAATGCGGTGGTTACGATGCTGATTGCCACCTAAGTAGCGACAACCGAGTGTGTCTACGGCGAATTTGACACTCCAGACTAGCACCCACGTTGAATGGTAAAAGCCACCTCTTAGTCCAGCCGTTTTCTCTTCACATTTTTTTGACTTAATTCCACAATGAAAAGCACTTACAGACTATCAACCATTAAGCGTTTTATAAAAAAAATAACACAATCGAATCTAGGTTTGCTTAACTTCAATCGACCTTACTTCGCCAGCGGTTTCCACCTGAACCCGATCAGCTATCGTTTTGTGCCTTTTTATTTTTGTTTAAATATGTTTTTTCACACATACATTGAAACACAAAATGAAAGGATATAATCATTAAAATGACAATACATATAAAAGAGCAGCTCTTACAGAATATGTATTTATTTTCCAATTGTAGGATATTCTCATCTGGAGTTAAGTCCTGGATGTAGTTGCCTCTAACTTGAACCATCCTGTTGTTCCGTACACGATCCCATTTGTTTCGGAGATGCTCTGATCCATTCTTTCCTTATACACAAGCAGTTGACCGATTAGTGCTGCTTCCTTGTCCGTCACTACAGCAACGCTCAATCTTACTAAAACCGTGAAACCCGTACGAACAACATCGCGCAATGCTACCGGACGCATTGTCTGAGCTCCGATTACGAGTCTACATTCAACCGCCTTATACAATTGGCCTTCAGCAACATATTCAGAGCTTCTTCGGGTCCTAGACGTATCTTGCCGAAGATATATTTGAGGATACCAGTATTTTCTCTCCACATTTCGGTCACAGAATAACTTGGATGTTGCTCCTTCCACAGCTTTCATCGTGAAATGGTGCTAATGATGATGATGATCTCACCTCTTACCCCTACAAAGATTTGAGCTGGACGATTTATCTTTAAGATAATTAAATATAACATTTTAACAAGGTTAGCAAACAAAATCGAACGGGTTACAGTTACAGATATGAATTCTCTCTAGAGTTTACAGTTGCTAAATTATCATCACCCATACGATTGTACAGGTGCCACGTAGCCTTTGCTGACCAACCAAGTTTTAGCACTCCTTCTTTGACCTGTTCTACCTTAAGAGTTGCTCCCAAGACTTGAACTGGAGAGGCATTCTCGTTCACGGTATACTTGCGAGAAGGAGGCTTTGTACGACTGTCTCACAACACCAAAGCAAGCTATGTCCATAACAGGCTTCACTAACCCTTTCATTTTTCCGCGGTCAAGCTTGTATGGTGGATCATAACCACCTGTTCCCTAATTATTACTTTCGATGAGTAATAAGGTCCTCAACAACGGTGTCAAATTCAGGGCTGTTACAAGATCTTTAAAATTTGATCCGCGAAATCCGCGACTTCAAATACTAATCCGCGACAGACTAAAAACTGTTTTCATTGCTTGTAAATACCATTTGCATTACTACTACATGGTCTTTCAAGCTTATTGCTTATAGCATATTAGTTGTTTGCTTGCTCTCAACTTAGTGTTTTGAAGCGCTTCAACATTTTAACCGAGAGCTTTCTATGCCTGTGCAATCCTATGCCCAAGGAAGTCGAGAAATCCATCCATCCATCCATCCAAAAGCATGTAGCCATCCTTCCATCAAATCTTCGTAGCTGTGCCTCTACCAACTGAGCTAAGGGAGTGTGTACCATTTTGAAAAACAAATAACAATGTATCATATTCAGTTATGTTCTTGGTAGTATAAATTCTGACTTTTTAGTGAACATCATAAAACACATTATGAGATTCAAATTAATAAAAGCGACATAGCTTTTCTGAAACATTATTTGAAATGAAAATTAACTTGAAAATCATCATTAATCAAAACGAATTACCAGGCAATAAATTTAATTTGAGGTTTTCATTTTGAACAAAATTAATACTGCTTAGGAGTTTTGATGAAATTTTTATGGTAATTACAACCAAAATTCAAAAAAAAAAATAAATTCGGAATTCCGATGATAGCTTTAACAACATCTTGACGATCATTTCTAAGGAATTCTGAGGATTATTCCTAAAATATTCCGGTGATAATTTTTAGAAAATGTAAAAGAGATTTCCAAGGAAATTGTGAGAGCATTTCAAAGAATTAATGGAAATTCTGAGCAGGACTAAAAATAAACTCCTATGCAAATTTCAAGAAAATAAATACTAAGGAGAACTTCAAGTGTTTTTTCAGGTAATTTCAGCATTTCCGAGTGAATTCAGAGAGTGTTCTGTAGAAGGTTTTCAAGTGTATTGTAGAGGAAATTATTAAAGAATTCAATTTTTCCACAATTGGACACAGAAAAGGTCAAAGATTCAAGGTTTGGGAAAAAATTGAAATCTAGAGGCTAAGATTTTTAGAGATTTCATGCTTAGAAAATTATATGATGCAAAATCCAAATCTTCATTGCTCAGGGTGTTTAATTTAAAATTAAATATTCCGGACATGGATTAGGGAACGTGAGAAGTTTTTAAGTTCCAAAAGTAGAATAAATATTTGAATCATCGAACTTTGAAATTTAAAGTTGCGGGCTTGAAATATCTCAAATGGCTGAGACTTCATTCCTCTAATTCTGGGATTTTCCAACTTTGAAACTTTTTTCTCCATGTTTACCCGTTAATTTGGAAATGTTTCCGGTATGCACAACACATATAAACTAAAATTAAGCATAGACCCGAAAAACGAAAGGATCACTAGGTTAAATGGGTCATTACTAAGACAGCAGCATTTTTCCTGAGACGATGCGGACCTGTGTTCGAATTCTTCAAAATTTGTCTATAGTCCAACATCCCTGAAGCGCAAAAAACCTTTACAGGATTTTATTATAATTTTCTCAAACATATCCTTTTGCACCTTTTCTCAGTGTTTATTTCAGAATTCTTCTAAAATAAGATTGAGATTATCTCTGAGATATAAAAAAATATTTATAACAGTCTACAAATTTTACAGCTTTTCTAGGAAGATTCCTGCTAAAAATCCACTCAAAATTAGCATTAATTCTCATTTAAATTCCCAAACAATTCACTTCAAAATTATCTTGAAATTTGGTTAAGAATTATCTTGTAATTTTGTTCTGAATTATCTTGGACTTCTTCTCTAAGTTCTTTTGTAATTTTGCTTGAAAATTTCCTTAAAATTATCTAGAAATTCATTTCGTGATGTCCTTGGAATTAGCATACGTAGACACCCTGCATAAGAACTACAAAAAATGTTACTTCAATTTCATTAAATAAATTCACAAGAAAAGACGACGAAGGCATAAGAAGCCCACATACTTACAAATAATATTGGTAGATAAGAGATAAATAATTAATAATGACGGCAAGATTTTTGATGGTTCTGAAACTTTCTGATCTGTTCCAAACCCTCAACATGAGGTAGGGTAACTTTGACATAAACTTATTTTAACTGTCATAATACCGATCCTGCAAAATGCGTGTCGTTGCTGTGACACAGCCTACCCGTCTCGATACCGTGAAGCGAGTAGTTGTAATTCACTTGCAATATTGCATTTAAATTAAATACTGCATTTCCAGATTTCAATTCTAATATATAAGTTTAAAGTGTAAGCATCTGAGTCATGCTGTAGTAGTAATCATACTTCAAAATATTTTGCAACTAATAATGGAAAACTGGATGAATTCTAAAATAACTGGAAGATTTCAAACATTAACTGGCATCACTGCTCTGTACATCATAAAACACGATAAATAGAAAATCGTATTCCGTTTTCGTAGCACATCAGTCCCTTCGTGATTTTCGCGACATTTTTTAATGTATCCGCGATTTTCGCAACTGAAAGTTCAAATCCGCTACAAAATCGCGAAAATCGCGGAATCCGCGGAATTCGCGAAGCCCTGCAAATTTGAACGAATTTGGTTATGATCCGGATTTGTGGGAGCAGTTTATATTTTATATGGGAAACGATACCCGCCTGTTCATTTGCTTGCCAAAAATTCAAATATTGCTCAAATTTCAATAAATCTTGGAAATATATTAGGATTATTATGCAGAATAACTTCATCGAAGACTGCAAATCGCTTAGACTTCTGGGAAAAAGCTTATTATTATATTATTGTAGACCAATTGCTCTGCGTTTACCTACAGGCGTATATATGAGCTTGTAGGTACGTGTGGAACACTTGGTTTAAGATTGGTGAAATTTGAGCAATATTTTGATTTTTGGTACGCAAATGAATAGGATCGTTTCGTTTCCCATACAAAATTTAAAGTTCTCCCGCCTATTCGAGATTATAATTAAATTTGATCAAATTTCGCACAGTTATCGGGAATCTCAATACGCATTAAAAGTGCAGTGGAGAACTGGGGGTTGTAAAGTTGACCCACCCTAGTGTAACACTGCCCAAATAATCGAAGTCAAACAGATGGTGTAATGAATTATGATTAAGTCGTCTTCACGAAAGCCGAACATCATTGCATAATACTCGTGAAGGTGTAAATTGAGCATTCGCATTTTCCGGTTCGCTTTTAAAGCACGCTTAGCAAGGTCTCCTGACGAAACGTCATCTTCTTGGGGATTGAAGACCTTGCGCCTCTTGGCAGCATTCGACATATCAACGTCCTTTGCTACCGGTAGGTCAGCTGGCATCTTGCTACTTTAGATTAGATTACTTATTTTTCCAAGGGAACAACAAGGTTTTAAACAATGCACGTGTTTGTTACCCAGGGTTGTCAGGTTGTTTGGACTGTTTTTTCCCGATGTTGTATGTTGGACATATTAGGAAATGGGAAATCATCTGGCTTAGTAATTTGATTTAATCCGGAATTTAATCGGGAATCCAGGCAGATGTGCTATTTGTACTTGATTTTACAGGTAGAATTGGATTCAGACAATAAGTGGGTCCACTGAGCTCTTCAATAACTTCAAGTGTTTTCATCCGGTCTACTTCTTGATCAACGTCGCCTACTACTTTGAGAGAGCATTTTTACATGGGTAATTTTCTTCTTAAAGTGGCGTTAGGCAACATGTCTATTCGAAGCTTAATGAGGCTAGAAAGTCACTCTTCTGTACGAGGTAGTATTTTTAAGGCTTCAAATACTTTCAGTTTTTGCTCAGTATTGAGGGTATATTCAGGAACGATTTCATCAGGATGGTTTCAAGGAGCTCTAGGAAAATCTAATGACGGAATTTCTTAACTCGGATCACTTTCCGGTACTGGATTAGAAGGTTATTTAAACTAATTTTCAAATGGATCTTCTGGACCTAACTTGAAAACTATTGACTGATTAATATTCGCTAATTAGTCTTCTATAAATAGCAAGTCAATTGCATTTCCTACTTCATCTGTTTCGAACGACCTTACCTGGATGAGGATCATGAGGACTACGAAGTTCAAATTTAAATTGTTTAAAAAAGTTCATTCCGAGGATAAGATGCCATGACAATTAACATGGGTAATACTACCGCAGGTGTAAAGAACTTGGACACCTTCAAGACATTCAGGAGTAGTGCCATCAACTGTTTTCAAACTTAGATCAACTTTGTGAATTGTTAAACCTAAACCTTAGTTAATTATTGAGATAGCCGCCCCCTAGTGTAGGCTAAAGCTGCAACCTCAATTCTTATCATTTTTACTCTGATTTTAGGACATCTATGTGGTTTGAGATTTATTTCTAAAACGTCATTATAAATAGGAAAATCATTGTAGTGTTCAGATTTTGGAACCAACGTTGGATTAGGAGAAGTAGTTTGGTTCCTTAAACATTCTCCTGAAATCCGTTTATGGTCCCCTTTGCATTGGTTTACGGAATGATTGTTGGGACAATTGACAGATGTCTTTCCAACATATCTACAAACATGACAAAAGATACGTTTTTCTTCCGAACAAAACATCCAAATGTGATCCTTTTCACGACAGTTACATTCGAAATTCGCTGGTTGGGCTTTTAATACATGGGCTGCTTTTTAGTTGAGCCTCCGCTGATTGGGACAAGACCCAAATAAAAAGCAACTGTATGTCAAATTAGATTTGACAATCGAATTTCAATTCTTTTAAGGGGTGATCATATGCGTTTGGACTGCGCATTAAAAGTAATGATTGTGAACATTTGGTATTTGCTCGATACTTTTGAGTTTTATTTTAAATTCTAGAATGAAACATAAACAAAAAAAATGCACACATCATATATTTTGGTTTTTTAAAGTCAGTTTCAAGCAACTTGTTCCAATCCGCTGTAATTGAATCCATTCTTCTCAACCACAACAAAGGATACTCATACCCCTTAACAAATTGTAGGCTACTGTCGGTTGATCCAACTAACGAATCGAGGTGGTGGCCTAAGCAGCGAATTTCAACTGTATACTGAACAAAAGGTGTGCATAAGTTTTAAGTTCTTCTGTTTTAATTTCACATGTTGCAAAGCATATCCATCGATCTCAAGAAAGACACCAAAGGAACCGCATTATTGTCGCATTATTGGACAAGTTCCAATTATTTTGCCTAAATGATGAGGTTGGTTTCTGAAATTTCGCGGCTGTTCGAATTTTTGGTTTTTAAAAGGATCGAATGGATTTCTCAAATTATTATTTTCGTCATTT